CTTGCAGCAAAAAATGAAAAACAACCACAGTACCCATTGGCTCAGCCATAAGCAATATTAAAGTAGTAGTAATATTGTAAAGCCTGATTGCTGATTTAATCCAAAACCTGTGAGAATGGGAGACTCTTATCTACCATTAACAGAAAGTGACTGACCAATCAAGAGACAGCTTTATAATTTAAAAATATGGATATAGAGAATACTAGTAACACCAAAAAATACTGAGAGTGATTACATCTAGAGAACAGAACTAACAGGTAGGAAAGGATCAGGAAAGGATAATCCTTAATTTGGTACATGCCTTTTGACTTCTAAGATTACATGCATGTATCCTCCGATGTTCTGCAGTTTTATTTTAATAAATTTTAAATGTAGATTTATTTTCATTTGTTTTGCTCAAGATATGCCATGCTTCTTCAACAACGATTAATGTCTTTACTCTCATAAACACTCGACTATTAACGTATTGCTTCTTCTCCCATTCTTTTCTCTTGTTTTTATGAAACATCTATTAGAGGAATATTAGATCTTATTCTATTCTCCATGACTTTTAATCTCTCTATCATATTTTTTTCTCAGCTTTTCTGTGCTATATTTTGTATGCTGTATTCCTCAATTCTAGCTTTTAATTTACTAATCTCTCTTCAACTACGTCTGATAGTTGCATGACCTGGCTCTTGTGATGAATCATTTCCTCATAGAATTTCTAATCTTCAACTATAAATTCATCTTCATTAGGGATCTACCCTGGGTTGTAAAGTGTTGTTATTGGCAGTTTTATGTGTGCTTCCACCTAGTGCCCCAAGAGTTTCATTAGTCCAGAATCCATTTTTACATGAATTTACATTGCTTGAGATTCCCACACTACGCAGGCTGACTAAATTCAAACTGCAAATCCAAATCCACTTTTGGGTTAGGATCTGTGGCTTTTGTTTCCCAAGAGAAGCTGAGAACCTGGCACCTCTGACAAAGAAACTTCCTCTTTTCACCTCTGGGCCACAAGCTGATTTTTATCCCCTTACAGACCTTTAACAGGGCAGAAACTTCCAGGGCCCTAGCTACATCCAAGGGTCTTAGTTTTAGCTCCTGCCTCTCAGGCCCAAAGCTGTGATGCAGACTCTGTATGACATAGGGCTTATCTCTCATCAGCTATCCCCTTTGGGTTGCCACACCCTCCAGGGACTTACAACTGTGGCTTTAAGATCTCTCCTGTAGCCAGGCATTTAGATTCCTTTTCTATCGTTTGATCGTAAGCAGGTATTTCATATTTTTGTTGTTGCTATATTTTATCCATTATTTTTATGTGAGTTTAGTGGGAGAGAGAAATGCATATTAATTAGCTCATTCCACTATGTTATAGAACCCAAACTGTATAAATTACATTAATAAAAATAGTAGTTTTTAAAAATTAGACATAGTATGAAAATTATACTCAAAGTAAGTAATTATGGATATAGCAGATTCTTCTGAATAATCCAGCTATGAGAAGTCAGGAAAAATGTAGGCTTAGTGAAGTAATCAGAGTTCTTATGAAATTATTAAAATTAATAAATTTTAAGTCATGTTGGATATGAATCACTTAGTATTTTTAAAAGTATTTAAACTTTTACTTCTCTACTGATTTTATTATAAAACATTTTCTAGAACTTCTCACTCTCTGTCATACTAAATATAACTGCCATCAAGTTCTACCTTATCCATTATACCTAGAGCCTGAAAAGTATAAATAAACCTTCAACCAATCCAAAGAGTATTACCTACCCAGTGGTTCTAGTATGATGCCCAGATTAACAGCATAAGCATCACTTGAGAAATTCTCAGAAATGTAAATTCTCAGGCCCCAACCAGATCTTCTGAATCAAAACTTGGGATTGGGACAGGGCAATATATGTTTCAACAAGCCCAGGTGATTCTGGGTGATTCTGATACATGGTAACATTTGACTCTATAGACCAGTGGCTCTGAATCTGCTCTCCATAAAACTTTTTGACAGTATATCTCAATCAGTCAAAGCCTGGACACAGATCAGGGAGGTGCCAAGGGTGAAGAATTTAAGGAAGCACTCACTCTCAGGGTCCTATAAGCACTGCACCACCCTGAGAGTGACTGACTCCTTAAATTCTGCACCCCTGTTCCACCCCTGCAATTAGTAATTAAATGACTTAATTTAAGTGTCTCCTACTTTCCATAGAGACCAACTGAAATGCCTAAAAAGATGCATATGAGAAAAGATCAAGGAAGAAACAAGTATGAGTAACTCTAAAACTGCACAATCAGACACTGAATAATTAGTACTTGGCTATATGATATACTGTTTCTTACTACAAGTAATATATTATGCAATGAACATTGTTAAACACTAAAAATATTAGCTCTGGCAACCTCAAAAGAATTGTGGGATTTATCTGATATGTACTATTTCTCCAATATGAAATCTTAATACATTTTTGATAATCAAGTTCCAAAGTATCTAAAATGCAAGGATTAGAATATCTAATTTTCAAACTGTGATCTATGGAGCCCCAGGGTTCAGAGAAAAAATCTCAGGGGCTGTTGTGGAGGTGGTTCCAATCTTCACCCCTGCTTCAACTAAAGTGGCTCTACAGATTTAAACATAATATTTTTTAACAAAACAGTCCAATTAGAGGCAGGGTTCTACTGTTGGAAAAAAGTTTTAACTTTTCAATGAACTGAATCCAATTTTAGGACCTTTAACCTCATACTAAAAATCTGCAAGGAATATCACAGAAATATTATTAACAACCCTAAGTAGAGATATTGTCTGGACTGAAAAATATTAGAATTTACTTCAGTTGTGATATGAAAACTGACAGACCAGGAAAACAGAGTAGTGGCTCCCAGCCTTTTGTAAACTACAGAAACTTTTCTTTAAATACAATTTTAGAAAAAAATCCAAAAAAATAAAAACAAGTAGAGCTAATCTGATTAAAAAGTAAGGATGAGACAGCTTCTTTCTCCCTATTAGTCTTCCTCTGCCTGCTTCCCAAAATAGCATCCTTTTCCCTATCTGTCCCCCCAACACACACACACAAACATACAGCAGCCCTTGAAGAACTAACAGAGAAACACTATGAAAAGGTAAAGCCAAAGTAATACAAACACTTTATCTGGATTAAAAAAGAGACATCCATCTTAAAATGTTCACCAGGTAGAAAGTTACCACAATAAAGTTCATATTCAGTTTTTATAAAATAAAGAGAATAAAGTATATAAACTAAAATTTTCAAAGTACACAACATACTAAATACTAACGTACTTAGAAATCAGCTGCTTTTTTTCAAGGAATCATGAGTTGCTATGATTGAGAAAAGCAGAAAAAAGTCAAGGCGATGAAATGCTATTACCCCAAAACACTATTCCTACTTATAAAAACAAAATGACTGACTAGTCTAATGTTACTGACAAACTTCCTCCCTTTTGCTTGGGATATGAACAGATAATTTGTTCAAAGACGTTTGGCATGGCTTCTTATATACTCTTTCACCTCAAGAAACTTATACAACAATAAAATATTCCAGAATGGGAAAGGTTTAGTTGATCTAGTAGAAGGGACAATATAATTACACAAAGTATTTCACCAAGCACTCATATTACAAACATCTGATTTTCTTTACTAAATTATATTTTCAAATATTCACTGAATTGTGATCACATTTCACATACAGTGTTCTTAAAATACATCTACAGGATCTCTTCTAATCACAAGCTAATGTGTCAGAGAAAGAGTTGATTTCACTATTCATAACCTGATATATGAAAGAATTTATATAATATTTTATGAGTTACTTCAATCTAAACTTCAATTACTTTAGTTACTTAAATTCTACTAAAAATGTACTATTGAAGCTTGTAACCAATCAGAAGCAATGTCTTTGGGCTCTTTGCATAGCCATGAAGACTGAAAAAAATACACAATTAACCTAAGAAAGTCCACTTGCAGCATTTTGAGGGCCTCAAAATCTATTGACACAAAAATTCTTTAGGAGCTGGGCTGGGCTTTATTATTATTTTCAGAATTAACAGAGTATGGAACATATTATCTTTAACTTTTGCCTTCATCAGTGTATCAAAGAATTCCTTTCCAATTTTAATGACAAAAATGTAATAATTTAGCTCTTATAAGCATACATGCAGACATATTACTGAATAAATTTATGTTCTTATATTAAAGCTTTTATACAAGATGCCACTTTACTTTTCTGAAGAAAACTTCTACTAATATGTGAGAAAAACTCATACTTTACAAAATTTGGCTATTTGTTGTAGAACTCAAGAATGAGACAGTAAAACAAAGGTAGCCCAAATATTAAGATGTAACAATGCTAGGTAAGAAAAAAAAACTTCACTATTACAGGAAAGAAAACCTTGAACACAATTTTAAAACTTAAAAAATTTTAAAATATCAATTTCTAAAAAGTTTGAATTCAAATAAAAATTTCAGTAAATATTGCAATTTACCATTTTTTATGTCTATGTCTTATGCTTAAAGCATTTCATTTGTGGGCTCTAAAAAGTTTTTTAAAGAAATAACAAAAAACACTGATTTATTACAACTCTTCTTTTAAAGAATAAGAGATTAATTTAAAGTAAAACTAAAGCAGATGTCCTTTAGTTTCTAAATTCACTAAATTAGGCAGGCAAAGATTTACAAAAGCAGTCATATTTTTTTCAGAAGTACTTTCAATATTGATAAGTATTTGATGGTTTAAGTGATATTTCATGTAATAAACAAAAAACTTTAGAATCAAAAATATTCACTTCAGAGACATTATCTAAATCTTTGTATTCTTAAGATACCATTTTGTTTTTCGTTGTAATTGCAAAATAATGCAGAATAACCTTTCATGACAAATAATAACAATTTAAAGATAAGATTATGTTTAGGATATACTTTTGAAGAGACATGATAAAATAATTTATAACACACAATAAAACAGAGCTACAAAATGCCAAAAAAATATAAAGAAAATTGCACTTACATCCATAGCTCTCTTAATAAAAGGTATCTGTGTGCCACTGTCCAGATCTTCATTTATAATAAGCCTTCTAGCCCACTGACCTGCCCTGACAACACCACTACCATGAATTAAAACCATCAGTTTCTGTGGATTTGTCAAAGCATCCTCACTCATAAAGATAAAACTCTTTGGTTCACTCTCAGTAGCATCTACCTGTAATTAAAAAAAATTAAATAATAAATAAATGTTTTCTGATCAGGCATAGACATAAATGAGAAAACAACTAATGGTTACTATAAATTATAGAATGGCTATTACAGAATAATAAAGGTAAAAAAACTTTAAAATAAAATTAAAATATCCATAGAGATTAACAATTACATATAAGGTAGATGAGGAAAAAAGACATGATAGTAATTTAAATATAAAAATATGAAAAAAGAATATTGGAAATATATGTCTCCCTACATTATTATTGTATATTTAGTATTATATTATCATTATAAATAAGAATAACTAATTTTTGAGTCTTTTGCATGGTCTAGATAATATGCTAAATGTTTTAAAAATATTATCTCAATTACAATCCCATTAAGGTGGTACTGTTATTCTACTCATTTATAGATGAAGAAATTGAGACCTAGACAGTGTAAATGACTTGCCCAAGGTCACACAGCTATTAAGTCTATAATTCTATAAAGAAGTATACTGCACCTATAATAGAAAACAAAAACCCAATTGGAGAATAAACCTATTGGAAAATCATATATTAGCCAGGAATACTATTAAACTTTTAAAAGATGGGAGAAGGAACTATTTAAAAAATCCAAAAAACTACTGTTCTATGTAAATGGACTTTGAAATTTCATTGAGAGTGTGAATACATGATTATATAACAATTATTTTATGAAGGAATACTACTTGTGTACTCCAATAACCTTGTTTTATGTATTAGTTATTTATGGGATATAAAGTGAATATTTTTATTCATTTTGACTGTAATTAATATTTAGGTTTAAATTAGATGATGTATGATTTGATTTGAAAGACTCAAAAGATGTCTAGGAAGGGACAACTTCCCAACATTTTATTACATATGCTATTGCATGCACTGAGTGGTATTAGCAGCTGTGGCTAGTAACTGGGAATGAAAGCCTTGGTACAGCCAGGTCACAGCCAGCAGCTCAAGTCTTGATGGCTGGTAATATACACATTCTCAAATAGAGAAGGTCAATCCACACACTGTGTAATGCAATAGCTATTCACTTCATCAATAGTATATATTCATGCAATTATCAAAATAAGAAATAGACAAAAACTCTAGATAGCAAAAAAATGTCCTGGATTCTAAATGTTCCCAGTCACTATTCCTAGGAAAAGAAAAAACTTAAAATTTCTCTACTTCTAAAATAATCAGACTGGTGTCAGTAAATAGATGCTTAGCCATTTGTGTAAACAGAGCAGGAAGGGCAATTATTTCAGCGAGAAGAGCATGGCCACAGGGCTTAAGAAAAATACCGCCTTCTCAGTGAAGCCTTCCCTGACCAGGAATTGGTCTTCTCCCCAAGAATTCCCTAGTCTCTTTCTGTTTTATCTTCCTCCATAGCACATACCACAATCTAATATATTGTATGCTTTACTTTATATATTTGTTTGCATATCTACTTATTAGCCATCTGCCTCCTCCACTACAATATAAACCCAGGAAGGCACGGACTTTTCTGTTTGTATCCAACTACATTCCCAATGCCTAAAACAGAGGCTGGCACATTGTGGGCACTTAGTAAATAAAGGAATAAATGAACTTTTGGACTAAGGGATCTTATCAAGCATTACCAGCAACTTCCTTTAAAGGCATTTAACTAAATAATGCGTCCTCTTAACTGGTTATAATACTTGCCTGGTTCAGAAAGCATCTGTTGAAGATTAAACCAATCATGATTATAAAGAATTTTAAAAGAGCTACACAATGCTAACAATTAAAATGACATAACTGTATCTTTATTATTAGTAATTAAGTATGCAGGAAGAGAGGTATGAAGTGTAACACAATCACATTAGCTTCACTTGCATTTGATATCCAGAGTAAGCAAATTAGGATGATGACAGCAGGTATGACTGAAATCAAAGAGGAAGAGAAGTGGGTGAGAGACAGGAGAAAACCAAATCAGAGAAGAAAAATTCCCTTTTACCTAGGAACATTATATGAAAACAGAAGAATCACTCAAAGTGGCTTAAAAAAAAAAGAAAATAGTGATAACAACAAAAGAGAAAATTAGAAAGCAAAGCCGTCGGTGTGTAATAAAAAAGGGGCCACATAAGTTCCCAGTCATTCATTTACCAAGGAGTATGTCTAAACCCACAAATAAAAGTGCCTCTTAAAGTCAGTGAGGCCTTAATGGATCCTGGAATGGCTATGGAAATGGACATCTGTTTATCTTAATGAAAAAACCTGTAGTTATAGACTTTCCAGTAGGTGCTGATCACTGCTTCTTTTTTCTATTCGACTAAGTCCCCTGTTACCAAAGAACTGAGTCAATACTTTAAGCGATGGAATGTTGGCACTTCAAATTCCAGAGTAATCACTTGAAAACTGGAAGGGTACTTCTTTTCAGAAGATAAAAATGTGTTTTTTATATTATAATGCTGCTGAAGAATTTTCAAGGGGCTACAAATTAAGGTAGCCAAGAATAAATGAATAAAAGTTTTACTTGAACATCCAGAAAAGTTGGCTGTAAAAATATGAGAACATCAGAATATTCAAGGGAAAAAAACAACGAAAATGAACAATGTAATGGTATTAATGATTAAGGAGTAAGAGCTGGTCATTGGCTAATATTAATCTTAACACAGAACTCTGACTCTTACAGTTGGTAACTATAACTTACTCGTAAAAAGTTAGTGCTAATTTTAAATAGTAAAATATCTATATAATACATTTTTCTTCATTAACTTAATGAAGTTTGGGAATGGCTGTTCCAAGGCCATTTATCTTCAAACAACAGTAATTCATGAAGCTGAGCTTTCATTAAGGAACACATATAAAGGTCATTCCAGTGCATCAGCTCACTTGGTTGACCAATCAACTTCAAAGACCAATTGGTCAGTGAGACTACACCAAACAATTCTTAACAGTTAACAATTCATTTTGGGATACTCATGAACCCTACTAACTTGATGTTCATTTAAACATGACTGAAAAAACTGAATGAAAATTTGCAGTCAAATTATTAACTTAATTCATGTGTCCAATATTCTACACAAGTGTAAGATATTAGAATTAAGAATATTTTGTACCTATATATGTGAGGTGGGGAGTAACATGAGACACGATCATGAGCTTTACCAGCAAACCATGGGCTTCCACAAAGTGCTATTTAAAAAAAAAACAAACAGAAAATGACTTTTTCTTTCCTCATTAAATAGTTTAACTATAAAACTAAAGTTTAGTTCATCATCAGGAAAAAAAAAAAACTTGGTGGTATTCCTTTAGCAAAAGAAACAATTCTGGACAAAAAAAGAGAAAAATCACTCTTACTGCTAGCTTTTGGGATTTAAGAGAACTCAGGAGAAAATTATTACTTACAGAAGAAAAATTTCACAACTATATAAAATATGTGATGATAATTTAAGGAGAGATATTTATTTCCTAAAACAAAAATTTTTTTTGGTTTCTCTTTAGCGTAGGGAATCTTTTCTAACCAAAAATGGACATGATGTTTCTTATAGGTCTTATATAATGTAAAGCTTGCTCTATGCTTATTAGCTTTATAGTCTAAATTTAAATGAGAGGAAAATAATCAGATGTAGAACACAAAGTCCACCCAAATCTAATCTCAGGCTTTCTATACAGAATATTAATGAAACGTAATCATATAACATGATCTATACAGTCAATTATCTTGTGATTTGTTCTGGAAATCCAGGGGGTTGAGTTTAAAGGTTCCATGAAATTACATGTATTACGGAGTTAAAGGACTCAGTATTAATTGTGCTGTAATAATGAATTAAACTAAGGCTCTTTAAATATCATTCTTCAGAAACTGAAAGAATTAAAATTAACGAGAAAGGAAGACTGGACAAAGGGACAAAATTCTACCTTGCCTTTTCAGAAGATCAAATTCAGTACATAGTTTTAATAGACTATGACACTAGACCTAAAGTCAAAACTAAATAAGAGGTTTGAATCCAAAAGAGACTGGCATATTAACTCCCCCAAAGATACTAAAATATTGATTTTCATGTATTTCCAAGGGAAGGAAAGTTTCAAAATAAACAACGGTTGGCCTAGCTATTACACAGAATAATGTTTTATTCACTAGTACGTCACAAGCACTTGGAACGGTGCCTGGCACCTAAAAGATCCTTAAATAAATATCTGTTGAATGAACAAATAAATGAATAAATGATTAACAATGTGACCTAGCACTTGAGCTTATCTATCAAAAATTAAATATAGATTTCTTTTATAAAATATTGAACTATGGAATTAATGTGAGGATGGATAGTATTAATAAATCTTCAAAACCTCGAACTCATAGAATAATATTACCAAAAAATTTTAAAATACGATGCAAAATTTTATGTAAACAAAATTATTTATATGCAAAGTTTTGTGCCTTAAATTAATTACTTTCATCAAGTCTTCCAGACACTTATATATCATAAAGTCAAAGAGTTGTCAGGGACAGCAAAGATCATCTAATCTAGTCCCACCATCATTTCACACATAAGATTATTTCCTCATTCAAAAGCTGAATATTTCATGTTTTACATTAAAAACAAAATTTTTTTTGAGAATTTGAGTCTAAGAACAAACCTCAAACTTTTTCACTCTGAAATGGCAAAATGTGCAAAATTTTTAAAAAGTGTTCTGCCAAAAAAGGAAAGAGTAGTGTTATAAAACAGGAAGCACCAGAAATGAATTTGGGAATGTGCAGAGGAAACAACTTAGAAATAAAACATATAATTTAAAATAATCATGAAATGATTAAAGAGATGGTGAATGTCTAGTGCAAAAAAAGTACACTGGCTTACTTCAAATAAGTAAAAATAAATCATCCAAATGAAATGAGAAAGGGTAGAGGAAGGAGTAGTCCTTTCAATTGCAACATCATTTTCAAAAAAGATTGGAAATCAGTATTACTTTCCTTTATGCTGAAGAGTATTACTTTTTAAGAACTATTGTGCACAATGAGATGAGGTATACTGACAGGCACTTAATATTATCTTTATCAATATCAACACATTAGGACCTTAACATTTAAACTTATCACAGTTAAACTAAAAAGTTTTCTTCTGAATTGAAAACTATTTCATTTGAAAGTATAAGTAAACATTTTTTAAAATTGGACTTACTGGAATAGAGATTTTTTTCAAATTACAGTCTTTTTCCAGGAGCTCATATACATACTTCGTGATGATCTAGGTAAAAAGAAATAACACATTAAGATGCAATGTCACCCATTATCAAAATTCACATAAATTATTGTAAGTTATTGCTTTGAATGAGTATTTCTCTTATCTTGGAATGTTTTAATACTAAATTAAGAGACTCTTTACTGATTATCTGAAATGGTTTACTTCCTGCTGCTGTATGAATAACTATGGACTTTAATTAATACTAAGGATTAGGGTCAGTTAATATAAACTCACAGTAATATGCCAAGACTTTGTTTTTCAAAGCGATACTCCGAAAGCATATTTTTTTTCTTCAGTGTTTCTAGAATCTGTTTCCCTATAATTTCTATAGGCATTATATCTAATATAGTACTATCGTGACTCTGAATCCTAACACCTCTTTTGTATTCACTGAATCAAGCAGGGAAAGGTCAGAGGTATTCTAAACAGAAAAGGAAAACTCATCCAGCAAAGTTAGGCACCAGTTAGTACTACTGTTTGTGTGGTAGGCAGAAACATGGCTCCCCAAAGATGTCTACATCCTAACTCCCGGAACCTGTTAATACGTCACGTCACATGGTAAAAGGAACTTTGTGGATATGATTGAGGTTAAGAACCCGAGATAGGGAGATTACCCTGGATTACCTGAGTGGGCCCGATCTAATCATATAAATTCTTAAAAATGGACGATTACAGAAGAACACTGTCTCAGAAAGATGCAAAGTGAGAAGGCCTCGACTGGCCATTGCTGGCTTTGAAGATGGAAGGAGAGACAAAAAGCCAAGAAGTATGGTGGCCTCTAAAAGGTGGGATAACCCTCAGTTTACAGCCAGTAAGAAAACAAGACCTCAGTCCTACACTTGCAAGGAACTGAATTCTGCCAACAACTCAAATAAGCAGTAAACAAATTCTCCCCCTAGAGATCCTAGAAAGGAACACAGACTGTCCACACCCTGATTTTGGTCTAGTGACATTCATAGCACACTTCTGACCTACAGGATTGTAAGATAATATATTTGTGTTGCTTTAAGCCACTAAATTTATGGTAATTTGTTATAGCAGCAATAGAAAACTAATACACTATTTCTATTAAGGAAAGAAAAGAAAGTGAAGAAAGAGACATCTGGAGTAAAAGCAATGATTTAATAGGCTTTAATGGTCATTTTAAGCTCCCTCCAAAAATGTCTTTAATCATCTATGCACAATATCTCAGAGAACAATTTTAGCAGTAATGTAATTAAAAGTCAAATTTTATGAAACAAAATCAGAAGATGATTTTTTTAGAAAATTAAGATGTCAATTGCTTTGGTGCTGTATGCTATAATCTAAAATAGATTCTCTATCCTGCTTTCTTTAAGGAATCCAAAATTCTTTCTTCCATGTATACGTATTCATTCATTTTAGAAACAGTATTTAGAAACAGATGTATGCTACAACAGCTTTATCTTGGCTGGTAATGGTAATTTCAAGAGGTACAACACTACACTAGAACTAGGCAATAATCTGCTAGTTAGTAATGGAATAGTATTCCTGTATCTTATGTAGTAGTCAAAATTATGTTCATTATACCTTTGCCAGAAGGTAGGTACTGTAGACCTGAAAGGGTAAACTAAAAATATGGAGGATGAGACTAAAATATATATATAAAGTTATACAATGGGCTGCCACTTCAAGAGAAATGGCTTAACTAAATGAAATTAGCTAAAATAAGTGGCTTATCATTTCTCAAAATTTCTTATTATCTATGAAATCATAAAATATCCTTACATTTAAAGCAACAATAGAATCAATCAGACCTAAACCCAAATGAATTTTACCACTCTGCAAATACTTACGAGACATAATTTGAGAATTAAAAAAATTAAACTATTTTGGCAGTTCATACCTTTTGTCAATATGAAATATAATATTACAGTTAATTATCAATTTTGATACTACAGGACAGTACAAACAATTCAAAAACTGCTCACATTTAGCTTTGAAAAATATTATAAGGCAACTGTCTGTTTTGGACTTTGCAATATATCAAACCAAATAATAAAACCATACATCGAGTAGAGTTGGAGAAACACTGCCTAACTTGCCCAATTTACCTTTTTCTCCAATTCCTGACTGCAGAGGAAAAGCAACCACAGACTAAACCATCTATCTTGTAGGCAGTTCTCTCTGCCTGGAATGTTCTCCTCAGCACTAGTCATCCTCTAAGAGACAGATCACATGTCAACCGCTTCAGGTAAATTTTTCTGCCTCATCCCAACCCTCCAAATGTCCCACATCCATGTTTCTCTGGACATGACTGAATATCATCATCTAATATATGAGTTTGATATCATTTACCTGTCTGTTACCTGACTAGTCTCAGAACACTATGATTTGGGTATCCTACCTTTACTTTTCCTTGTATCCACACAGGATAGTGGCTGGCACATTGAAGGTACTTCAAAATAGTACACAAATTCTCCTCACTGTTCATCCTGTCTACATCTTTTGAGGGAGATAAGGGCTCAGATTTTTAAAAATCTTTTTAATTGCTGAATTGAGGCTTAGAAAGAAAGCACCAGGGATTTACTGCCTTCCAGCTTGCATGGGATTGCAGCCTGCATTAAGAAAAAGCAACAAATGAAAAGATAATTTCAAAAAGGAGATAGAAAAAGTATCTCTGCCCAAATGTAATCTTTGTTCAAATATTCACTGGAAATGATGTTTCTAGTGAAGTTCATCCATGAAAAAGAAAAGGCTTTAGAGACTATCCACACTCTAAGGGGAAATCTTCATTCTAATAAGAAACACAGGAACTTCTGGTTTCTGGTCTGAAATACAAACAGCTTGGAAATGGACACTCCCATCCTCGCACACACACACAAAGCTGACCAAACCGAAAATCAACAACTCTTCTTAGATCCCTCAGAGAATTGAGGTCAGAGGGCAAACTGCTGCCCTGAAAACTGGAGAGAATTAGGGCTTTCAAGGAGGGAAGGCCAAGGCACAGAAGTGTTGGCTGAAGCCAGTACTGGGGTAGGAACACTTTCAACTGTAACTGGTTAGTTTCTGGAAGCTCAGTATGGACTAGCTGAAGAATTAAAAATTACGAGGGGGCACAGCCTTAAAGCAGGATCCTCCCAAACTTCTGTGAGTTTTACCTCCATAAGCCCCAGTAGGGTCCCACTGTGAAAACTAAAGAAAAATCCCCTCCTGCTTCTAACAGAGGAAGGGGAAAGGTAACCATTTTGAAATACTACACAATTCTGTTCTCCTTAATAAAGCGTGCCTGCAAGGGAAACTATTTTACCTGAGCCTAATTGACATAAGGGAAGAAAAATGCCTAACTTAGGCTCACTCAAAGACTGAGACCTAATCATAGACTGTAGAATGTTTCCTGCCCCTGCCCCCCAACATTACCACCACATCAACAGGGCTCCTATAAAATAACAAGAGATACAGCTAAACAAACTGCAAGACTCACACTATCTTTAAGGTCTCTAGGAAAACTCAAAGACAACAAGGGAGATAAAAACAAAGACATTAGAGGAAGTTGTAGCCTTGGACACCAGAACTAGCGCAAATAGTAAACATAGCCTAACTCCTAGCCAGATAAACATGAAACCTCACACTAAAGACCCATCTACCAAAGTTCACTTTACTCAATACATCATGTCTGGCTCTCAACAAAAAATTACCAGGTACACTAAAAGGCAAAAAGAGTCTGAAGTCACAAATCAAGCAGCAGAACCAGACTCAGATATGGCAGAGAATTTGGAATTATCAGATTTGGAATTTAAAACAACTATGATTAATATACTAAAGGATTTATTGAAAAAAGTTGACAATATACAAGAACAGATACGTAACGTAAGCAGAGAGATGGAAAATCTAAGAAAGAATCAGAAGAAAATGCTAGATGAAAAACAGTGTAAGGGCCAAGCTGGTGGCATAGTGGTTAAGTTCACACGCTCCGCTTCAGCAGCCCAGGATTCGCAGGTTTGGATCCCAGGCATGGACCTAACACCACTCATCAAGCCATGCTGTGGTGGCGACCCACATACAAAATAGAGGAAGAGTGGCATGGATATCAGCTCAGGGACAATCTTCCTCAAGCAAAAAGAGGAAGACTAGCAACAGATGTTAGCTCAGGGCCAATCTTCCTCACCAACAAATAAATAAATAAATAAAATTTTAAAAAACACTGTAACAAAAATGAAGAATGCCTTTGATGGGCTCATCAGTAGACTGGACATGGCCAAGAAAGAATCAAAGAGTTTCAAGATATATTAATAGACACTTCCAAAAATGAAATGCAAAGAGAAAAAGATGAGAGACTACAACAGAATATCTGAGCATTATGGACAATTACAAAAGGTTTAACACACATAATGGGAATACCAGGAGAAGAAGGAGAAAGGAAGAGAGGAATTATTTGAAGTAATAGTGGCTGAGAATTTTCCAAAATTAGTGACAGACACAAAACCACAGATCCAGGTAGTACAGAGAACTTCAAGCAGGACAAATACCAAAAACTACACCTAACCATATCATATTTGGCACAAAACCAAAGAAAAAGAGAAAATCTGGAGAAAAGCCAGACTGGGGATGTGGGGGTATTTGGGGGAGTAGGGGGGTGTGGGCGACTTTACTTACAGAGGGAAAAGGATAAGAATTATATCAGACTTCTCTTAGAAACCATGCAAGCAAGAAGAGAGTGGATTGAAATATTCAAAGTGTTGAAAGAAAAAAATGCCACCAATCTATAATTCTGAATCCAGTGAAATTATCCTTCAAAAGTGAAAGAAATAAAGACTTCCTCAGACAAACAAAAATTGAGGGAATTTTTCATGAGTAGATCTGCCTTGCAAGAAATGTTAAATTATTCAGAGAGAAGGAAGATTATATAGGTCAGAAATTTGGATGTACATAAAGAAAGTGTTAGAGAAGGAATAAATGAAGGTAAAATAAAATTTTTTATTTTTATTATTCCTAATTGATCTAACAGATAACAGTTTGTTCAAAATAACAGCAACAATGTATTT